TACGAACTGCAGGTGGTGCATTCGGCTGTGGCCACAGGGACAGCATCCTCGTGTTCAGGGCTCTCACATCTCCTCTTGCTGCAGCCATTGAGCTTACAGAGGGGTCTGTGGAGTTGCTCCTGTGGGCATGGCTTTCCTCCAAACCACTGCCAGGAGCCCAGAGCCCATGGTGAGGATGTGGCATTGCCCTTTGATGAGCTCTGGGACATCCCTAGCCAACATTCTGACCCTCCTCCTTCCACATCTCCTCGAAGCAGGGCAATGAGCCAGTGAGGGGCTCTCTGGGCTCTGATGGCACTCAGGGCAGCGAACTGAAGCTCATCACAGCCCACATCCTCTCCAGGGATGGAGCATGTTTGGATGCCTGTGCTGGCTCCGTTGTGGCCTTAGAGCCCTCCCTGCTCCTCTGCAATGGCAACGCAATGGGATGCTCTCTGTCTCCAAAGGCCCCATCACAGCGTCCCCCCACCACCCGTGGTGCTCATGGTGCAGGGGGCTGTGAGCCATGCCCAGCCCCCCTACCTGCAGCCCTGCCCTCCCCGCGGTGCAGACCCCTGAGCCGTGGGTCTGCCATAGAAAATCCCCACCACGCCGATCCCATTCCCGTGGCATCCCGCGGCCACGGGGCGAGCACAGGCAGCCCTTCCCATGGACCAGCCCAGACTTGAGCGTCAGAGCTGCGCACACGCGGGAGCAAACAGCAAAGCGAGTGGGAGCGCGCCAAGGCAGCGCCGCGCGGGGACGGGACGAGGAGCACAGCAGGGACATCCACCAACACAGGTACCGGGGCCACTCCTCTCCCGTCCCCTTTCCCAGATGAAACCAGGATGCATGCGGTGGGAATGGAGCGAGAATGCTCCCACACTGAATGGCACGGCGTGGGCAAACTCTTGCGCTGGGGTAGGCTGCAGCGGATGGGGCAGCTCCTGCATGTGTGCCACTGATGTTACATGAGGGGAATGTGCGCCTTGAGTTCCCTGCCTGTGAAGCACAGGGCTCTGGGAGCTGCTCACAGCATTGCCAGAAGTGCATTCCTGGATCCGTGGGTGCAGGGGTCCAGGCAGCACAGGGTGCCTTCAGCGTCAGCCTGTGCACCGTGCACTGCCCTCCAGCACTGCGTCCCAGGGTGGGAGCAGAGCCCCGTGGGGTTACTGGTGATGGTTCGAGGGGTTTTAGAGGTGCTGATGCAAGCTGCTCCGAGCCCTCCTTGTGCGGTATCTCTTGCCTCAGCCAGGGGAAGGGGACTGAGTCTGATCATCCTCAGCAGAGTCACCCACACCCCAGGAGGGCAAAGCAGGTCTGCCCGGCTCTGCCGGCTTGCTGGGCGTGCTCTGAGTCACCCACAGCCCTGCTCTTCCCAGCCAGCTTGATGCTCGCAGGCATTCCAGCTGCTGCTGCCAGGTCGTTTCTGTCACCGGCAGCAGCCAAGGGGTGCAGAGCATCACCTTCTGTGGGACTTGCTTCCATCCCCTTCAGCTTCCTGGTGTCCTCATGCCTGGCTCTGAGCACAGCTCTGCCCTGCATGTCCCCTCCACAAAATGGAAAGAGTTTCAATGCTAGAAGGTGTGGGGCAGGAGGCAGAGCTCAGCATGGAAATCATCAAACACCTGCGAGGGGTTGGACTGAGAGCATCATGGTGCTGCGCAGCTCAGGGTCCCGGCCCTTCAGCGTGTGAACCTCACAGAGAGAGAGATCCCAGCAGCACCTGCATCCCCTGCAGGGATGCACCCTGCTCCCCTTGTTCCTCCCTTGCAGCACTAGGCAGTGCTCAGTGCTTGGAGTTGGCAGTGGGAAGAAATCATGGCCTGGGGCAGCCCCCAGTGCTCACAGGCATGAGGAGAGACTGTGACTGGAGGGACTGGGAGCTGAGCGATGCTGCTGGGGGCTGGGGGCAGGACAGGAGTCCCAAAGCTGCTCCCAGTCTGGTTGCTGTGGCACCGGTGTCTGTACCATGGGGTGATGCAGAGTGCAGGCTGGCTGCAAGGTGTCCTGTCCTGCCCAGGGAGAGACAGCATTGCTCTCAGTGCCCACAGCACTGCAGAGTTCTGTGATAGCTTTGCTCGTGGTGCAGGGCCAGGCCACAGCTGTGTCCACTGTACTGTGACCTCTCCAGGTGACAGGCTGTGTCCCTTGGAGTGGTGTGGCAGCACCCCTGCCCACATGCTGTCCCCTGGCAATGACCCTCCAATGCCCAAAACTGGGGACTTTGTCACCTTGCAGACCCTGTGACACCAGGAATAGTCTGGTGCGTCAGACTCATGCCTTGCTGCACACCTTCCCTCATCCTCCCTCCTGCTGCAGCTTACCATCAGGTTTCCTTGCTCCCCCAGGCACAGGGATCATGCAGGGACGAGCCCTGTGCCACCAGCACCGTTCCCGAGCGCAAAGGGCACAGAATGCAAAGGGCTCCGGCATTCCAGCACTCGCTGCCTGCTGGGCGTCCCCCTCCCCCTGCGCCTCGCGGCAGCCTTTGCTGCTTCACGGAAAATGTGATGACTCGGCAGCCCCCGAGTTTCCAGGCCCGCTTCCAGCCGCTGGGTGGAGAAACCTTCTGCAGTTGTTTTTGGGTCTGGAACAGCTAAAGGCTTCGCCGTCGGGGGGGACCGCACGGGGGCTCTGGCATCCCCAGCTGACGGCGTCTCCCTCTGCGTCCCCGCTGCGGTGGCACAGTGGCATGGGGCGACCACACAGAAGGCAGGGCTGGCACATAATGAGCAGCTTATCCACCGGCATGGGAGGCTGCCGAGCCCCGCGGCGCCGGGAATAAGGCCTGGGTTTGGCTCCCGGCGGCGCTCTGGGCTGGTTTGCACCACAGGCACAGCCTTAGGAAGAAGTTGGTGGGGGTGGCAGGGATGCGTCCCCAAGGCCAGCGGGGTGCCGGCTCTGCTCACCCAGGGCATGGAGGGTGCCGGCAGGCAGGAAGGGGCTTCACCCCAGCAATGGCAGCATAGAGGAGCAGCCCTCAAGTCTGTGCCAGGGGTGTGTAAACGAGGATGGAGAGGCTGGGTGGGCAGAGAGTACAGGCAGGTCCAGCCGAGCTCCCAGGGCGAGCTCAGAGCTGGCAGTTCCTTGGACTTCCAGGGACAGGGGTTGTTTTCTGGCTGGCCCAGAGCTCTCTGGTGTGCTTGGAAGCTAAACGAGCCCCACCTTGAATCTGTAGACCAGGAAAATCTCCCGTCTGTGCCATTGCTGGTGACACTGCCTCCTGTCACCTGCAATGTGGGATGCAAGATCTCTTCCCAGGGTCCTCCATCCCCCCCCTCTAGATCAGAGCTCCCATCTGGCTGAGATCTCCATCTAAACCCCCTTCACCAGCTGCCTGCTCCTCCACTTCATCCCTGCCCTCCCTGCAGCCCCTGCCTCCCTCCAGGGTCACCCTGAGGAAGCAGCCCTGTGTCCCCAGCCATAATGTGGAGTCACTCCTCTGTGAGGCCCAGTGTCAGGGTATGTGGGAAGACAGAATCAGCCAAAGCCTCTTTGCAAATGCATCTGGTCCAGCTATAGCCTCCAGGCTCCCGCCCTGGGCCCCCGGGTAATCCTGGCCATGCCTGGCTGCAGTGGGGAGCTCCAACCTCCTCCCAGCTGGCTGCAGCTGCCCAGCGCTGGAAAGGGGCCTTGCAAACAGCCCCCTGCCCACTGTCAGCACCACACTTCCATCTGCCCCAGTTTGTGGATGTGGATTCCCACCGCCTGCAAGTGGCTGGGAAACACAACGGCAGCACATGTGGGCATCTGCCCTGCCCTCAGCTACTGTCGGATGCAGGAGTGCTGACCAGCTCCTGGTCACTGCTTAGTTTCAGCAGCAGGATGGTATCCCCAGCTGTGCTGACCAGTGTCAGCAGTGTGACTTGATGGGTCATATCCATTTCCCATGGTGCTGATGTACCTCCATCCCAAATGTCTACTGGGGGTCCCTAAGAGCTTTTGTCCACTTGAGCAGATGCACCACTTGCATTTTTGGCCTCTCCTAAGCTGTCCATATTAAGCTTGTCCATGCTAAAGCAAGAGGATTCTTGGCACCCTTTCCATCCTCCATGTAAGGAGAAAGGAACCCCCTTTGTCATTTTCCTGGGCAGCCCCAATGGCTCTCAGCAGTGCGGGACCTCTGGGAACATCTACCTGCTCTGCTCCCAGCTAGTGATAGCTTTCCCACATCTTTGCCCAAGCACTGGGGAAGGATCTTGCTCTCACAGGCTCCACCTGACAAAACTCCAACTCTCTGGGGAGGGAGTCTTCTGTCCTGGGGCCAGCTAGGGGACATGCCCCATGGGGTCACATCCTGACAGCTCGGGCAGCTGACAGCAAAAGGCACAGCCTGAATAGCTGCTGTCGGTGACCACGCTGGCTACTGGGACAGACTCCCACGGCCACACAGGCTGCGCTGCCTTCCGGGATGGCTGCACTGCTGAGATTCTTCCAGCACTGTCCCAGATCTCCGGCGCTGATGTGGAGCCAATGGCATCTCTGCTCTGAATCAGAGCTGGCACGCAGCCGCGCGTTGCACAGACAGCCCCGCATGGCACAAAGCACAGCCGTGCACACGGCCGGGGCACAGCGCTGCCAAGGGCAGATCCGACAGCCGTGAGCACGCGGGGCGCAGCTCAGACCTTCAGACAGGCCGAGTGTGCTGCAGGCATCTTCACGCCCATGCGATGCAGCACACAAAGCTCTCAGTGTGTGCAACCCCCAGATCTGATCTCCGTGCATCACATGGAGCCACATGTCCCCCGCGCAGCACAACCGAAGCTTCCCTCCTCCATCTGCACCCTGCACAGAAATCCGTGCACACGCGGCTGAAGGCTGCACAGAGCGCACGGCCCCACGCAGCCACGCGTGTGCCAACACCCCCAGCACCGGGGCTGCGCTCCCTCCCCTCGCTGGGGGCCGGTTCGGGCACTCCCTCCCAGCTCGGAGCCGCCATCCGTGCCGTCCTGTCTCCTCCCCTCTCCGCACAAATCCCACAACTCTGCAGCACTCCTTCTGATGGCCAACCCGTGCTGCAGCCGCGCGGAGCCCCCCCCCGGCAGTCCCCAAGCGAGCCGCTCCCTGCCCGCAGCGCACGGGGACAGCTGCAGCGCCACCGCAGAGGGACGCGGAGCCACGGGAACAATAGCAAATGCGCGCAGCGAGGGGCGCACGGCCGCGTTGGACTTCTCCCAGCCCAGGGACAGCTGGCACGGCTGACGGGCAGCGCGCTGGCATGCATCGCTCGTCCCCACTGATGTCACCCCGTCGCTTGGGGAGCGTGCGGGGATGCGTGCTGCGCTGGGATACGGGGCTGCGTGGGGACAGGCGCTGCTGAGGAGCCCCCACCCCAACGTATCACCCCTCTGATCCGCAGCCCCCCTCCCCATGAGGCCACCGCTTCTGCCGCTGCTCGTCCTGTGGGTGCCGCGGCTCCTGGGGACCCTGGCGGAGGTAAGCCCCCATCCCTCGGAACCCCCCATCTGTCCGTGTCTGGCTCGGAGCGTGCTGGCGATGGGGGCTCGCATAGTCCTACCCCGCTGAGGAATGACGGCATCGTTCTGGGCTGCCTCTCCAGCCGTGCAGCTGCACCAAATTAGCGGCGTTAGCAATTACGAGCTGCCGCTTTGCTCCGCTCACCCCCCCCTCGCCGTTGCCATCGTCTCCCGGTGTTTCTGCTGCCGTTGCTGCCAGGCTCCCCCCGGGGGTCCCGAGCTCCTCCGCTCCCCTCTGTGCACACAGTCCCCAAAACCACCGCACTTGGGTTGAGAGGAAGCCAGAAATGAATCATCCCGCAGAGCAAAGGGGAAAATAACTAATGATTACTTCTCTTGTTGCGGGACAGGGAGTAGGCAGAGGTTTCCTTTAATGTGGGGGAACTGTCCCCAACCTAAAGCAGGGCACACCCTGCTCGCCAGCAGGCTGTGGGGGGATGGGTGTCCTGCCGGCAGCACCCTACAGTCCTCATGTCCTCACTCTGCAGCCAGGCTGAGCTCTGGGGTACCTCCGACCCCGCACTGTTATGGGGACGGGGCAGTGAGATTGCTTGCCCAGAGCTCCCTCCCTGCTCAAATCCTCCCCCTGTGCCCTGGCCGTGCTGGTGGGATGCCCTCGTCCTGTGAGCACAGCTCCGTGTGGGTCAGCGGGCCCAGGAGCTGCGCTAAGGGTTGGGGCAGCTCCCATGTCCTGCCTGCTCAGTCTGTCCCCTGCCTTGGCCAGGGGTGCTGGTGCTCTCCCAGGCTGTGACAGTCCTCAGGAGTCGCAGCCCCCCGCACCCCCAGCTCTGAGCACCTCACCTTGTCCACATCTCAGCCAATGTTCTCTGTCCCATAGGGAGAGGGCTGCAATGGGACAACGCGGGCAGGGCTGGAGGCACGGGATGCACCTGGTGACAGAGGTGAGACCTGCAACTGCTGGGTGATCTGCAGCAGCAGTGGGCTGTGGGGGTACCTGGATGTGGATGCGGTCGGCAGAGTTTGTCTGTGGGGTGTGAGCGGTGCTGTGACCTTGTGGGCACCAGATGTGCCCTGCTGGTTTGGGGAGCTGGGGCATTTGTGAAGCAGCCCATTGCTAAGTGAGGGACGAAGGCAATTCAGGCGTTGGAAACCTGAGACAAGCAAATAAACATGGGTGGAGATCTCATACCTCAGTGATGTGAGAGAGATCCCACAGTGAAAAACCACTGCTGCATGAACTCTGTGCAGGGTGCAGCTCCTCTGGCTGTCCTCAAGAGGAGCTCAGCCATGCTCTCAGCTCCGCAGGCTGCCGGCACCCCGGCGTGCTGCCCGGTTTTCCCAACTACTGCCTCTAAATGACAGCATTGCATGAAGTGGAAATTGCACGTTGTTCTGAGAGTTCTGTGCCTCTCCGGCTTTGTAGGGAGGGCACGCACTGCACCTGAGCAGTCCCAAAGGTGCCCCTATCCCCAGGGCTCACTCCACACTGCTCTTAGCTGTGTAAAGGCAGCCCCAGGCAGCTCTCTGGGGCAATAGCTGTGCTTGTTTAAAGCTTTCTTGCCCTGCCAGGCCCCAGGTAAACCTGTTCCAACATGTTGCACATTGCAAATTTTAAGCGCTAATGATTACACAAGTGTCTTATTAGCGCTAGAGCTGCTCAGAAGCTGCAGCGCTGGGGACGGCAGCAGAGATGGAGCACGGAGGGGTCCCACTGCAGCTTGGCACTGGTGCACAGGCTCAGCGCTGAGCAGCTCCAAGGGCAGGGATCTGATGGCAGCTTTGGCCACCGACCCACCCATTAAACAAAGCCCCATGTGCCACTTCCTCGTCCCCTCACGCTGCAGACGTGGGGATGTGTGGGCAAAGCAGGAGATGGCCTGAAGCCTTTGGCGTCTTTATGCAGTGCAGCAGATGCTCAGGGGCACCTCTTTCACATCCATGATGTTTTCAATTCCTTCTTGCTCCTGCAGGGCTGATCCTGAATGTCAGTGCAAGTGACCAGGGCCGGTCAGGTTCACTCCTGCTCTCCTGGGATGAGCCAGAGGGGGGTGCTGAGGGCTTTTCGCTCACCCTCTCCCCGCTGGGGTCGGGCACACTGCTGCAGAATGGATCGGTGGGACCCAACGTCACCAACTTCTGGTTCCATGGGCTGACCCCTGGCACATACTATGAGATTGAGGTGACAGCCACGCTGCACTGCATGGACACTGCCAGGCAGACAGTCACAGCACAGACAAGTAAGGGCTTCCCCTGGGACTGCAGGTCTGAGAGCTGCTCTGTGATTTTGGGACATCTCTGCCAGTCGCTGTCAGACCCAGCCTTGCTCCCTGCACCCCCCCCCCCCCCCGGTTCATGCGAGGGTTGGGGAAGGAGCAGAGCTGGGGAGCCAGCATCCCTCTGGAAGGCAAAGTGGTGCAGGTGAAGGCAGAAAAACTGGGACAGGAGAGCAGAACTGGAGGGAAGGGCATGGCCAGGAGAAGGGATGGGGTCGGATAGCCGTGTGTCCCGGGCCAAGCTTCCCTGCCCTGTTCAGTCACTGTGCAGAATGACACAAAGGGACAGAGCGGGGATGGGGCAGCTCACACTGCTGGTGGGAGGGCGGGGGGCTGGCAGGGAGCGGACAGGGCTGTGCGCGGTGGATTGGGCCCATCTGGCAGGACCTCACCCACGGGAAGCCCCATCCCGCCCCTCCTGAGCCACACGACAACCTGCCGGCCCCATCGTGCTGTACCTCATGTAGGTCCTTCACCCGTCCGCAACCTGAGCCTGAGCAGCGGCGGCAGCCCGGCCTCACTGCAGGCCTCCTGGGCAGCCGGCAGCGGGCAGCGGGACGGTTATCAGCTCAGCCTGTACCACAGCGACTCACAGACGCTGGTGAGAAATGCGTCCGTCCCACCCAACGCCACCGCCTTCCTGTTTGATGGGTTGGCTGCTGGCAGTGAGTACGCCCTGAAGGTCAGCACACTGGCTGGGGCTGGGCAGGCGAGCACCAGCACCCACCAGTGGACAGGTAGGGATCGATGGGTGCGTGTGTCCCGGGGGGAAGGCTGGGAGGGATGAAGGGTTTGGGGAGGAAGGGTTGAAACATGCGGGCTGGTGGAGAAGGGGATGAGGACTTCGGTTCAGAATGGGCAGTTTGTGGAGGATGGGGAAGAGCTGGGAGCTCATCGTAGAGTCGTGGAATCACTAAGGTTGGGAAGGACCGGTAAGGTCACCGAGTCCAACTGCTGACCCGCCACCACCATGCTGTGAGCTGAGGGATGTGGAAAGGACCACCACCCATGGTGTGTCACCCATGGGGACAGCCCTACACACCTGTCCTGCCCTGTGGGGCCCCAGTGCCCGGTGGGGCTTCTCTGCTCTGTAGCAGAGGAGGGCAGCCTTAGCAAAGAGCCTCAATTGGTGGGAGCTGCACAAATGTTGCATTCCACAGCCTGGAAAAATATGGAGGGACCTCACAAGGCCCTCAGCTCACCTGGGCAGGGACATGGGGAATCTGCAGCCCCTGTGACAGTGCCAGGGGAAGAGGAGGAGACCCTGGGGAGGGAGGAGGGTGATGGCAGCCCCCAGCATGGCTGTGCACTGCCCAATCTCACTGTTTCCCCCCAGCACCCTCCATCCCCACCCAGCTGAGGCTCAGCCCCAGCTCCAGCACCAGCCTCTCAGCCACCTGGGTGGGCGCAGGGGGGGCTGCCTGGCTGCACCTCGTGCTCCGCAACCTCCACACCCAGACGGTGACCAAGACCCTGTCAGCCAAGAGAGGCCTCACCAGCTACAGCTTCCAGCATCTCCAGCCTGGCACCCAGTACTGGCTGGGGCTGAGCGCCGTGGCCGGGCCCTACACCGTGGAGGGGCCCAATGCCACAGCATGGACATGTGAGTAATGGAATGGGGGCTGGGGGCACCTCGGTTGCCGTGACTTTCTCTGATCCAGCCTCTGAGTGTGAATGTGAATGTGCCAGCACCTGGGTGCAGAGGGTAGAAAGCCACACCAGGACCCAGCTCTGGGGAGCCACGATGGTAGATGAGGGGACAGGCAGCCTGTGGTCCCCGTTGGTTGCTGTCAGAATAGTATTGTAGAACCATAGCAGCTTAGGTTGGAAGGGACCATTCCCTGCCATCACAGTGGCTGTAGTGCTGGGAGCAGCTCTAGCCTCAGACTTGCTCTCTCAGACCAGGAAACCACGAGGAAAATGCAGAGCGCAGTCCAAGTCGTGGACAAGAGCAATGCTCTCCAGCCCTTCCTTGCTCTGCCTGCCAGTCCGGGCAGCTGCAGCCTGCTGACTGTGCAGCTCGGATTTTGGAACAGCTCCACACCCCCAGCTGCTTTGGTTCTGTTGTGGAGCCTGACTCAGTCCCTGCAGTTGTCTGACTGACCCGACTGCACAGCGCCCAGAGCCAGACACACAGCCCAGCCAGGAGCTCCGTCCAGGCTGGATCCTGGGAATATCAGCGAGGTCGTAACAGGACATCCGTGGAGATGAGGGGCCCCGTAGGAATTTCCCAGCAGGGCTGAGTAGGAATGGTTGTGCTGGGGACTGGAAACAGCACGCTCCAAAAGGATGCTGAAGGCTGGATGCGGATAAGGCAGCAGGAGTGAGGCTGGGGGTGTGTGAGGCAACTGTGGGGTCTCACACGGCTGTCTGTCCCCTCTGACCAAGCAGGTATTGCTGCTGTACCCAGCAGCCCTGAGTTACAGCACACAGCAGGCCTTGGGCTGGGAGTCTACACACCCCATCACCCTGACCCCCTCCCGTTCCCCTCCAGACCCCCTGAGCCCCACCAACGTGACGCTGAGTGGTGCGGAGGAGCAGAGCTCCCTGCAGGCTCACTGGAGCACCCCGGCTGGACAGAGGGACTTCTACCTGGTGACACTGCGGGAGGAGGAGGTCGGTGCTCCCACCAGGAACATCTCCGTCGGGGGAGACAACGGCCACGTCACCTTCCATGGGCTGAGCCCCGGCACGCAGTACTCTGTGCAGGTGACGGCGGTGGCTGGGCCTTACCGAGCTTCTGCCCGCAGCGCGGCAGCCTGGACACGTAAGCAGAAAGCTGAAGCGTGTCTTGTTGGGCCGTTCGGGTGCCTTGCAGAGAGGCTGAGCTCCTGCAGATATGTCTGTGGGAGCAGAGATGGGGCTGTGTGATACAGCTGCACCTGGCCCTAGAAGCAGCTAAAGTCTGCTGCACTGCTCTTCCTCACGAGAAGGGACTCGAAGATCTGTGGCAAAGCTGTGCCAGGTTGTGGCAGGCACCAGCCAAGCCTGAAAGCTATGCGCTCACCTCTCTCTACTCCCAGCAGCTGCTCTGGGGGCATGTATCTCCACCAGCCCCTTTAAAGCAGCATCTTCCTTGTACCTGGCCCCTCCTGGGTGACTTGGAGCCATGGCCAGTGTCCAGGCAGATGCCCCAGAGCTGCCGCTCCTGGAAGAAGGGCTGGAGCCCGGAACAGTGAGCGGGGCACTCGCCCAGTCCTGAGGCTGAGAGCAGCAGTCTCCCTGCAGCCCCGCCTGCCTGTATTTGATGGCAGAAGTGCTGCCTGATGACATGAATCTGTCCTTGTGCATGACCCTGCCCTTGTCCCTTGCAGAGCCGCTCCCACCGTCTGCTTTGAGCCTCTCCAGCCACGGCAGCCCCTCCAGCCTACGAGCCAGCTGGGAAGAGGCCATGGGAGAGGGCTACATGTTGGCTCTCAGCCCCACAGAGAGCCCCGTGAAGAACAGCTCTCTGCTCAGAGGTGCCACCAATGTCACCTATGAGGGCCTTCGCCCTGGGACCCTCTACACCTTTGAGGTCAGCACCGTGGCTGGTCCCTACACCTCTACACCCCGGCGCATCACCAACTGGACATGTGAGTCCCTCCGCCCTTGCTGCAGCCAGCCCTGGGGGTCCCACTGCATCCTGCCTGTTTCCCACGTGTTGTGCCTCAGGGCATGGCATAGCAGAGATTGTTTGCAGCCTCACCCAGTAAAAGGGCAAAAGGCTCAGGAAGAAGGCAGAGGTGTTGCTGGATGTGTCTGACCCTCATCTGTGCCCCCGCCACCCAGCACGAGGGTCAGCAGAGCCTAGTGCCCTTCTCCCCCCTTTGGCTCCATTTTGGTGGCACTGCTTGGGCTGGATATGCCCTGAAACAGCTTTCCTCACCAAACACCTTCTCCTGTCTGGGCTCTGTGCTGGACCAGTCTCTGGGCCAAGCTGGTCTGTAGATGTCAGCGGGGATGGCACGCTGACCCACCCTGGTGTGGGTGTTCCAGGAAAGGGGCTCCATCTCAGCATGTTTGGGGCTGCACCTTTGCAGGTGATCCCGGCTCAGTGGCTCTACACCTTTTCTCATAGATCCTTTGCCCCTGGAGCAGCTGACGCTCAGCAATCAGGGCTGCAGCACTTCTCTGCAAGCAGCCTGGAGAGCAGCGCCCGCGGGCAGCACTGGCTACACAGGCACCCTGTGGGAGAGCAGATCTCAGGAGCGGGTCAGAAACGTGTCTGTGGGGAACAACTGGACGAATGTCACCTTTGAGGACCTGGTCCCTGGGCGACAGTACACACTGGAGATGGCTGCTATGGCTGGGCCTTACAGATCCAGCGTGCGGTCAGCCACAGACTGGACATGTGAGTGTGCAATGCCTGCCCCAACACTATTGCAGATGGCAGCCACAGCCTGGACAGAGAGGGCAGGGAGTGGAGCACGTATGGGGGGATGGACAGACAGACAAAGGAAGAGCAGGACAGTCAGAGCCACTTCCAGCCGTGTTGGAAGCAAAAGAGTCCTCAGTGCAGAATGGAATGTGTTACTAATGGGTACCCAGCACACCAAGTGGGGTCCTGCTCCTATGTTGCAGAGCAGACATTCATGCTGTGTGGGGTTTAATTTCCCAGTGCTGATGACCTGACTGGGGGCAAGCAGCTGAGGGTGCCCATGATGAGTACACAGCAGTGTAGGACCCTCTTTGCAGCCAGCTGCCCTGCACCCACCTCCCCTTGATGCTGTTGGGCTGCAACTCATCCTCCATGCCGCATCCCCACCACAGCCCCCACCCCACTGCCTCCCCTCACTTCTTGCACCCCCCAGACCCGCTGGCTCCATCCGGCGTCACCCTGACCAACACCCGGCGCCCGCTGGGACTCTCAGCCTTCTGGGACAAGGCTGCAGGCGACGTGGACCAGTTCCACCTCCAGCTCTACAGCAAGAGCCATCCAGCGCAGAGGAACATCTCTGTGGGGCCAAACATCCACAACTTCACCTTCCTGGGGCTGTCCCCTGGCGTGCAGTACTTCCTGAAGGTGTCCGTCCTCGCTGGCCCCTACCGATCCTCGTCACACTTTGCCACCGAGTGGACATGTGAGTGAGGGCTGGCACTGCCTGCAGGACCCGCAGTGACACTGATGTGCCTGGGCCATTCTGTGGAGCGAGAGCTGCACTCTGCATGCTGATGGGAATGGGAACCATGAGTTCGGTGCTGTATGATGCCTTCTGGGCCCTCCAAGAGCAGCCCTATTGAGCTGCCTAGGGCATGCATTGTCTCCAGGCTGGCCTCAGACCAGCAGAGAGGGATGCAGGATGTGCACAGAGTGCCGTTGGACTTGCTGCTGCTGGGTCACCTGCTCTTAGGTGGCTCTGCTTAGACCGGGTGACCTCCAGAGGTCCCTTCTCACCTCAGCCATTTGGTGATGCTGTGTGAGCAGTTCTGGGGAGCTGAGGGCTCTGTTCTGTGCCCACCTGCACACTGTGCGCAGTGGTCACCACTTCTCCCTCAGTGCGATGCAGAGGTGTGGGCTGGCTCCTGTCCTCTCCAGCTGCTTTTCCCTGCCATCTCACGGATCTCTGTGCTGTGTTTCCTCCTAGATCCGCTGTCTCTGGCTAACGTGAGCGTGCAGCCTGGCCGGAGACCACAGGAGCTGCACGTGAGCTGGGTGGAGTCAGGTGGTGGCCGAGAGCATTTGGTGCAGCTCTCGGTGGCAGAGTCCCTGTCCATCATCAGGAATGTGTCTGTGCCCCGTGGTGTCACCCACCTGGACCTGGAGGGGCTGGTGCCGGGCTCCCGGTACCGAGTGGAGATCATTTCTCAGGCTGGGCCTCATCGTATCTCCTCTCAGACTGCCATCGGCTACACAGGTAGGAAGGCAGCCCCTCCGCCCATGTCCCATGCCAGGCTCGCAGTCCTGCGGCTCCCAGCTCCATTCCCAAGCTGGAATCAGCCCTGGGTGTCCCAGTCCTGCCCCTGTAACTCTATTTCTCTCTCACAGTCCCGCTACCTCCACTCTCCCTGTCTGCCAGCCCTGTGGGCGCTGCCTGGGCTCTGGCTGTGCACTGGGAGACCCCTCCAGGGCAGAGGGACGGATACCTGCTCAGCGTGCTGGAGGAAAGCTCCTCCTCACCAGCAAGGAACCTGGAACTGGGGAAGGACAGCACCAACATCACCCTGACACAGCTGACACCGGGAGCGTGCTATCTTGTTGGGATCTGGGCAGTAGCTGGAGCCTTCCGCTCCCTCCCCAGGAATACCACTGGCTGCACAGGTGAGATCACAGCACCCTCAGGTGGCTCAGAGCTGCAAGGAGCTCCTTATGGGATGGGGATCTATGTCTGCCACCCAGACCAAAGGGCACCTGGATGTTCTTCTGATGCGCTGCCTCCTGCAGCCTTCCTGCACCAAGAGCAGCAAGGAGAAAACTCCACAGAGTTGGTGGCGTGTTCAGGACTGGATTGTTTTTCTCTCTGACTCGTGTGTCTGTCCTTCCTTGCAGTTCCTGCTGCTCCAACAAACCTGAGCCTGACCAACCCAGGCAGCTCCTCTGAGCTCCACGCGCGGTGGAACAAACCCCTCGGCAGGAGGGACCACTACCGTGTTGTTCTGCACAGCCTCACCCAGAGCAGAGATCGGGTGCAGACCGTGAGCCAGGATGCCCAGAACATCAGCTGGACTCACCTGGAGGCAGGCAGCAGGTTTGCTGTGCAGGTCATTGCTGTCAAAGGCTCTTTGGAAGCCTCTTCTGCCAACGTCACCCAATGGACATGTGAGTCTGAGGGGCTGTGTTGAGCCTCAGATCCCCCCCGCGTGAGCCCCACAGAGTGCTCACCATCACCTTCCCCATTCCAAATCCTCTCTGTTGTGCTATCTCCCCTGCCACGTCCAGCCTGGGGATATTGTGCCTGGACCACGTGCACTAAGCCCGTGCCTCCCTCCAGGAGGAACTCTGGTGGCCATCTCGTCCCATCCTGGCACGCAGAAGCTGACTCTCTCCCTCTTGCTTTCCAGATCCCTTGGCCCCTGCCAACCTCACCCTGGGCAGCCCCTCAGCCTCAGCACTGCGCGCATCCTGGGCAGCCATGGCACGAGGAGCAGAGCGTTACGTGGCAGAGCTGTATGACGCAGCCTCCAGCCGCCGTGTTGGACACGCGGTGCTGGCTGGGGGTGCCAGGAGTCACATCTTCCATGGCCTGAACCCCGGCACTCGCTACAGCGTGGCAGTGAGAGCTGCAGCTGGGCCCTACCACACCAGCACCCCCAACCTCACCCACTGCACACGTGAGTACAGTGCTCTTCTTGCAGTCATGTCCTCCACCATTCCCAGTTTGATTCAGAGGCCATTCTGCCTCACCATCCCTGGAGGCGTTCAGAGCTGCAGAGATGCGGCACTGAGGGACGTGGTCAGTGGGCACGGTGGGTGGGTTGGGGTTGGACTGGTGATCTTGGAAGAGTTTTCCAACCTTAAGGATTCTATGATTGTATGGTCTCCCCTCGGTCAGCCCAGGTTTGGCTCCTGCCAGTGACTCCTGTCTCCCCCCCAGGCCCGCTGCCCCCGACTGCCGTGCGCCTGCTGAGCACCGGGCACCCCGACAGGCTGAGCGCGTCCTGGAGGGCTGCAGCCGGGGGGCACGATGGCTACATCCTGACCCTGTACCATGCTTTGCTGGGCACCACGGCAGCCACGGCCTCAGCTGGGAGGGACACCCAGAACATCACCTTCACGGGGCTGGCCCCAGGGTACGAGTACTCCCTGGAGGTCAGTGCCACGGCTGGACCATACCAGACAGCAGCGCCCAACGTCAGTGGTTGGACACGTGAGTTGCCCAGGGAAATTTCCCCTGCAGAGGGGTGGGAGGTTTGCACCACCTGGAGAGTTTACAGGGGCCCTGGTGCCTTTGGAGGTGTGGATGGGTGCAACGTGCGGTGGTTGGTGCACGGGCACACTGCTGAACTCATGGGCATGTGGATGTTCTGCTCTGTAGGACGGCATAAGTATGTGCTGATGACATGCAGGGTTCCCCAGCTGTGCCCACATGGCGATATCCCGCTGCCCAAGCAGCCCCATCTCCCTGCACCTCCAAGGATTTGTACACACTTACTGAACTCCTCTTGCAGATAGAATCCATGTTTCCATAAGCTCTGCAAATTGGTGCAGTAGAAGAGGCTGATCCCTCTTCCTCCTAGGAGAACAAATCTTTGCTCTGGAGGTGGACCGATCAGCCCCTCTGCTCACCCAGAAAGGTTTTAGGGCTGGGCAGGGTTTGGATTAGTCCTATGCCAATTCTGTTGGAGGATGAGTACACACAGCTGTGGCAGACGCTTGGAGGTGGGCACAGAGAGCAGGGTGAGAGTAGGAGCTGGAGGGAACGAGGGCCACAGGTGGGAAGGGGATGGAAATGAAGAGAGCTGGCAGTGTTGCAGAGTGGCACTGCACATCCCAGCCCTCAGGGAGCGCTGTCCTGCTGTGTGGTGTCCTACTAAGCACCTTCTGCCTGATGTCTGGTCCCTAACATCAGGTCTTGTGCCCCCCAGCCCCGCTGCCCCCGACTGCCGTGCGCCTGCTGAGCACCGGGCACCCCGACAGGCTGAGCGCATCCTGGGGGGCTGCAGCCGGGGGGCACGATGGCTACATGCTGACCCTCTACCATGCCTTGCTGGGCACCAGGACAGCCACGGCCTCAGCTGGGAGGGACACCCACAACGTCACCTTCACGGGGCTGGCCCCAGGAAGCAAGTACTCACTGGAGGTGGCCTCCATAGCTGGGTCCTACCGGACACCTGCGGGGAACGTCAGCAACTGGACATGTGAGTAGCTGGCTTTGGAGTTTGTGCCTTGGCTGAGTGTGGGTCACAGCAAAGGACGTGGCCCCACTGATGCTTATGGCAGCCTCTGAGCCCAAAGCCCAGGGCTCAGCAATGCTGTGGTCCTGAGCATAATGAAGTGCCCCATCTCACTCAGTGCATCCCGTCCGATGGCACTGCTGGGATGCCCGAGCCACGTACTCAGACTTGCATTGACACACGATGCTCATCTTTGTCTCTGCAGATCCCCTGCCGCCCCGTAACGTGTACATGACAAACCAAGGGTACCCCAATAGACTGAGTGCGTCCTGGAGGGCCGAACCGCAGGGACACGACGGTTACAGGCTGCTCCTGTACCACTCGGGGTCGGGTGTGTTGGCAGCCAGCACATCTGTTGGGAAAGGCATCAGCAAGTTCACCTTTTCTGGCCTGGATCCGGGACACAAATACCTGCTGGAGGTGATGTCTGTGGCAGGGCCCTATGCAGCCTCCGCAGGGAACATCAGCGACTGGACGAGTGAGCAGTGGGGGCTGCAGGGCTGCATGAAGCTCAGAGTGCTGGGGTGGGGGAAAGGGGGCAGGGATGGGGTTGGGAATGTTGCCTGGAAGCTGCAGCAGAGGGATCGTGCTTTGGGGGTCATGGAGGAGGGCAGGCAATACATTGCCCTTGGGTACCCCTCCACCCCCAGTGCCTTGCTCCCAGGCACTCAGAAAATTCCTGGCATGGGAAATATGGGGAAGTTGGCTTTTTCTTTTTTTTTTTTTGTAATTTTCAGGAATGTGGAAATGGCAGATAAGCACAATAAGTCTTTTCATGTGCTTATCCCCACAGTCCCTGCGCTTTGCTTGGGGGATCCAGAGGTCTCTGCTCCCACGCTCAGCCAGCCCTGCAGGGTACTGGGAGTCATGTGCAGAGCCCTTCAGGCAGGTCGTTAACGAAACTTGCTAATTGGCAGGAGGAAGCCATCTGCTCATGTTCATCATCTGCATGTCCTCCCATTGCCATTTAAAGGCCGTTTCTCATAGTGGCAGCCAGCAATGTTATCACTGAGCACACGAAGCTTCCCTGCATATTACCCATCTTCTGCTTACATCTCCGCAGAGCACAAGAGTGCCTGCTGTCCCAGTCACCGCCCCGCTGTGGTTTCCCTTGCAGCCCCCTCAGTTCCCCAAAATGTCTCTGCGGTGGCGGAGGGGAACAGCACAGTGCTCATCTCCTGGGGCAGCACCCCTGGGCAGCAGGACGACTGCCAGCTGTGGCTGCGGGACCCCCGGAACGGCTCAGTGCCACGGCGGCACGCACTCACCAAGGGGCAATTCCAGCACCTCCTGCACGGGCTGACCCCAGGCAGGAACTACTCCGTGTCCCTGAGCTGCGTGGCCGGGCCCTATTGGAGCAGCACCAGGCCCTTGGCGGTGGCTATGGGTGGGTATGCACAGGTTGGGGCCGGGGGTGTGAAACACAGGGTGGGGTGGATCACCCTTTGCATTCAGCAGTGGGGTGCAGGTTTTCTTGGTGGGCGATAAGGAGACCCCATCAGTAGGGTGAGCCCACCTCTCACATCCCTGGGCGTCTCATTCAAAGATCCAAACCCTGTGGAGGATGTGCAATGCCTACCAGAGTCGAGGAGCCTTTTTGTGAACTGGAGCGGCCCTCCTGGAGACGTGGAGGCTTACGAGGTGGTGACAGAGGGGCTCTCGGACAGCCCCCCCACCCCCAAGCATTCTGTGAGCGTTCTCGTGAGCCAGGCCAGCCTGGAGAGGCTGCAGCCAAACTCCTCCTACCGAATCGCTGTGAGCACTGTGGGCATCAATGCCATGAGGAGCCCGGCTGTCACTCTGCTCTGCAACACAACAGCAGAGGGTGAGTCCCCTTCTTCCCCGCGCACCCTGCAGAAGACAGCCAGCATTGCTGATTAGACCCAGGGACTGTCTGTGAGCTCAGTGCAGTCCTGGCAGCGCTCTGGGCAGTGATGCTGGGAGCAGTGCTGTGGGAGCAGGGATGTGCTGACAGGCTGCGCTTGCTGGTTCCTCTTGCAGCTCTTCCCCCGCCCCTGCGAGCAGAAGTCTTCCAGGTAGAGGCCAGCTCCACCGTCATCATTTCATCTGACCTGTTCAGCGAGGAGAACGGCCAAATTGAGTACTATGGAGTCGTTGCTACCACTAATGACTCACGTAAGTGTTCTGAATTGCAGCGGCTCCCCAAAGGGATGTGGGTCCCCACACATCACCTTGTGCATCGCCCTGCAGTGCTGAGGCCCACCCAGGACGTCATGTCCAGCACATGGTACGACCATTACTACGGGACGGAGGACTCCTACCTGGCTGTGCTCATCCCCAACCCCTTCCACCCGAGCTCCATCCAATCCACTGAAACCTGGCGAGTGCCCGTGGGGACAGAGGAGTGCGGCCGGACCCGGGCGATGTGCAATGGGAAGCTGAAAGCCAACGAGCAGTACAGGTGAGAGATGTCAGCCTCTGTCCCCAGGGGCTGCAGGAGGGTCCTGGTGAGGTGGCTGCACGCCCACCCTGCCCTCAAAGCAGACCCCAGGGCTCGCTGTGCCATGAGGGCAGGAGGAGGGAATGTTAGGGTCGGTGGGTAAGGGGAGCAGGAGTGAAAGGGGAAGTTGTGAACAAAGCATCATTTCTTCAGTGCTTTGTTAATAGGAGCCAAATCCCCAAGCATCCCTCTGACAAAGGGGACCTCCAGAGTCTAGAGGACTGCGGCTCTCCATTCTGAAGGAACTAACAGCAAGGATGGCTGTCATGAGAGCTCTCGGAGCTCAAGAGAACCATTCCTTTGGAAATCCCACCCGCAGGGCAGGATTGTGGAGGCTGGCAGTGCTTCACTGCTCTCCTGAGGCGCTGTGCTGTCATGCCCAGCAGTACAGCTGCACTGCGATGCACTGCCATCCCATGGTCATCAGACACACTGGGGTGTTGCACCCCCAACAGGAGAGCATCCAGCTGATCCAGGAGCTCTGACGCTGGCTGCCCATGCAGCCCAGCTGTTCCTCATTGCTAACTCTTGCTGCTTAAATCTTGCAGCCTCGAATCCGGATTTCTGCTCCAGTTCTGCTGTGAGTCAGGGATTTGCCTTACAGCGCACTGCCTTACAGTGCCAAACACAGCAGGACGCCCCTCTGCCCTCCCGGTATTGTCCCAGGCTCCAGCCAGAACACTCTCAGTGCTCCCAGCGCTCCCCTGCAGTCTATCATTAGCTTTCTGTGAGGAGGCATTTAAGGCACGGTGTCATTATTCAGCCGTGGTTGAATAGCACGCACTTAGAATAGTTTGGTTGCGCAGGGCCTTTTGCACCTCATCACAGCTAGCTTTCATTCTGGCTGCCCTGAAGAACAGATATCCTCAATCAACTATTGTTTTCCTAGTTAATCGTTAGCAGCAGGGTGCAAATCAGATGTCCCTGGCTGCTCATTCCTCCGACAGCCAATGCTTGTTTCCTATTTATCAACAAACCCTTATGTCATTCCGTGGCTCCATTTGCTCCCAGCATTGGGTTTGGGGTGCTGCCAGAGGGTGCTCACCCTGCATCCCACAGACTCAGCTGCTAAAATCCAGAGGTGCATTTAGAGATGCTGCGTTGTGTGTAGGACGCCTACCTGAGAAGGAAGCTGGCTCTGCAGGGAGCTGGGAAGGCTCCCTGTTGGAGGAGGAAGGAGGGCAGGTCTCCACGGGAACGGGATGCCCCGACATCTTTGGGCACAGGGGAGGGTCTGTGTGGAGCTCAGCCCCCTCTGCCGGGGTGCTCAGTTCTGCTGGCTCGTGGTGCATGGGCACTGTGCTCTGCTCTGCCGTAGGTTCAGCATCGCTGCCTTCACCAAGTACGACCCTGTCACCCCTGCAGTGTCATTCACCACGTTCTCGGGTAAGATGGGGATGTTATCTCCCAGCTGCTCTCTCATCTTCCCTACCTGGCTACGCAGGTTAGAGATTAATAGCAGTTAGCTAATAGCAAGCCAGAGGGAGCTCATGGGCTATAGTAAATGTCATAAATGGAGAAAACCAAGTCACATACTGGCTCCTACTTCTGTCCCTTCTTTCTGATTCCAGCTGCTGGAGGTAGCATGGACACAGCTCCGCTCCCAGTGCCAATAATAGCTGGAATCATCGTGGGATTTCTCCTGACATTGGCTGCTATTTTTGCTTTGGTCTACTGGAAGCAGCTCAGAGCGAGGAGGTGAGGATGGGCCATCTCTTACCCAATGGGTCTCAGCTGAAAATCTCAAGCAAGACTCAACCAGGCTGTGGGGAAGAGCAAGGGCATAAAAGGAGCTTTTGGCCAACCAGGGCACCCCCTGGGTCTGGTCCTGTGTGAAGCCACCAGCTGAGCTCAGTGATCCTTATGGGTCCCTTCCGATAAGATTTTCTATGACTGCAAAAGCACCATGCGAAGGGCAGCTGCCCGTGGTTAATTCAGAGAACTGGGCCATGTGCCTGATGCCCGTGGTGCTCCGTGGGCCAACAAAACACGGCACACTGACAGCATCAGTAACAGCTCCCCCGTTCTGCTTCCAGGACACAGAAGAGCAGCCTGCCCCAGGAAATGGTGACCTACAGCTTGAGGTTGGTGCTGCTGGTTGGGCTCTTCCCTCTCTGCCTGCCTCCGTTGCCCTGTAGCTCAGCACTGGGCTCTGCTGCCCTCACCTCCCAGCATCTGAGGCAACTTTTCTTCCGGACTTCATTTCATGCAGAAATGTCCACCGGCCGATCCCCATACAGAACTTCAAGCAGTACTATGAGATGAAGACAGCAAGTGGTAGCCACGCTTTTTTCCAGGAGTTTGAGGTGAGATGGGACTCCTGCAAAAGATGGGACTTAATTTCCCCCTAAATAGCTCATTCCAATCCATCCTGGGTCAAAGGAAGTTGCCATGGCCCAGTTGCTGGGCAGCCACTTGTGGCTCAAATCGGTACCAGTGGCAATGCTGGGTGAAAGGTGGAGCAGTTCCCTGTGCAGGGGTGAGCCCTGCCCGGCTCGGGAAGCACCAGCCAGCCATTGGCGGTGGGCTGGCAGCTCCACGATGCTTGTGCATGGCTTCTCCCTTGTCCCACAGGAGCTGAAGGAGGTTGGGAAGGAGCAGCTGAAGGTGGGGGCTGAGCTCCCAGCCAACGTCTCCAAGAACAGATACCCACACGTGCTGCCCTGTAAGTGCTCCTTGCTCCCACCAGCACCCTCCTGGGCTGTGAGGTGGGCTCACCAGGCAGCCTGGCTCCCCTCCTGGGAGGAGTGGTGTGTGCACACCTTCAGTTTCACACACCTGATCTCTTTCAGACGACCACTCTCGGGTCAGGTTGAGCCAACTGGGGGACGACCTGCACTCAGACTACATCAACGCCAACTTTGTGCCTGTGAGTGCCCGCCCACCTTCCCACATAGCAACATGGCCAAAGGACCCCAGGATGGAGGCAGTGAGGGCTGTGGGCAGGAGCTGCTGCTGGGACCACAGCTGGCAGTGGCGAGGTGTTGGGGTGCCTTTTAGCAGAGGTTGATGGCGAGTGCTGTGAACGCAGAGGAGTGAGCGTGAGACCAGCAGGGCTTTCTTCCTTCTTCTTCAGCTCTGTCCTCTTTCCATCCTCTCTCAGCTTGCTGCCCTGTCTCTGTCTGCTCTTTCTCCTTCTGCTCTGTGCAGCTGCATTTGAACACCCCGGAGCTGTGCCCGCATCCCACACCCCGGAGCTGTTCCCAGGTAACAGCGGGGCACACGGGAACCCACAGGGCATTTGTGTGCCTGAGGGACAGCGCGGAGAAGGCTGGGACCCTGCATGCTCATCTCACCTCCAGCAATGAGCAAGGAGCTGGAGAGGGACCCGGAGCTGTCTTTCCCTGGTTAGGCTGAATGAGGAACCGCTTGGGGGGAAGTGGGCTGCCATTCCTTATTCCAAAAATGTAGAGCACGTGCTGAGCAGCACTCGCTTCCTGTGAAATCGGCTTCTTGCAAAGTCAGTTGCCCAGGAAACTCTGCCCACATGGGCTGAGGACAAAGGGTACTTCTCCATCTGTAGGGCAGAGCGGGCCTGGCTGTCCCAGGGCAGGACCCACCTGCCTCAACCCCTTGCCAACTGCTCCTCTCTGGCTCTTGTTCAGGGCTATACGTCCCCGCAGGAGTTCATTGTCACCCAAGGGCCCCTGAAGAAAACCATCGAGGACTTCTGGAGGCTGGTGTGGGAGCAGAACGTCTGCAACATCATCATGCTGACGGTGTGCATGGAGAACGGGCGGGTACGTCTGCGTGCTGGATGTGGACCCCCCAGCCCAGCCTCACCCTGAGCGTGAGCTGGGTTTGTGCACGCTGCCCAGGGAGGTGTGAGGTCACCCTGGGTGATGCAGCCCCACCGTGACCCTGTCCTGCCTGTGTCCCAGGTTCTCTGTGATCACTACTGGCCGTCTGAAGCTGCCCCCATCTCCTACGGGCAGCTCCGGGTTCACCTGCTGTCTCAGAGCAGTGCTGAGGAGTGGACCATGCGTGAGTTCAAGCTGTGGCATGTAAGTAAGGATCCAGGGACCCATCAAGAGCTGTGAGTTTGCATGGCATGCAGTGGTTTTTCTCCTTGGTGGTGGTGCAGTCTCCCCTGCCTGCAACAGGGTTCAAAGATGACCCAGTCCCCAGAGGAGTCATCCATCTCATAGTCATGGAATGGTCTGAGTTGGAAGGGACCTTTGAAGGCCGCCTGGTCCCACTCTCTGCCATGTACACCACAGCTCCAGCAGTGCTCAGAGCCCCTGCCCTGACCTTGGAGGTCTGCAGGGATGGGTTACCACCACCTCTCTGGACAACCCGCTCCATTTCTTGCTGCCTCAAACTTAGTAGCGCAGACACATCCAACACGTATCACCCCTCTTACTCATCCGTTCTCTCTCCTTTCTGTTGCTTTGCTGTGTCCCTGCTATGGGATGTGCCCTGCTGCTTCAGGGATGCAGTAGTGTGACAGGTGGGGTGGATGTGGCCCTGCCTGCAGTCGGGTGTCCCAGGGTCCCTGTGTGCTCCTGGAGCTGTGGGTTGCATGCACATCCATGCACACTGATAACCAATGTACCCCTGGCAGGAGGGCCTCCGGGCAGAACGGCACGTGTCCCACCTGCACTACACTGCATGGCCTGACCACGGGATCCCAGAGTCCACAACATCCATTCTGGCCTTCAGGGAACTGGTGCGGGAGCACATCCAGAGCGCCAAGGATGCTGGGCCGACCCTGGTGCACTGCAGGCAAGGCGCTGCTCAGCGGGACAACGGGTGGCAGAGGGTGCAGGGAGGAAAACAACATCCGAGGGCACTGAGGGTCTGTGGAGTCTCCTTCCTTGGGAACTGAGGATTGCATGTCCCCAGCATGACATCCAGTCCCAGGGGATGGGGAACTGCGGATGCTCAGCCTTCAGTCACGCTGGCACGGCATGGGGGGGACGTGTCCAGGAGGGGACCTCCTCAGCCGCAGGGTCAGGCAGTGTTCCAGCTGTGCTCTCTGTGCCCTCAGTGCTGGGGTGGGCCGCAGCGGCACCTTCATTGCTCTGGACCGGCTGCTGCAGCAGATGAAGCAGGAGAAGGTGGTGGACATGTTTGGTGTGGTCTACACCCTGCGGATGAACCGCTACCAGATGATCCAGACGTTGGTAAGATTTCTGCTCCCTCTTCCGCAGCCCCACTGGGACGAAAGCCTGCAGGGCTGGCAGACAGATGCCCAAGAGCACGTAGCAACAGGACCAGAACCTTTGCAGGCAGTTCTTGCCCACACCAGGTCATCCCTTCCAACTGATGAGCCCTCTGCCCCAGGTTGGGTCAAGGAGTCAGTAATGCCCTTCATGACAACGCAGGGGAGGGATGTGGGAGATCTGAGATTGGGCTAACCAAGGCTGTGGGGTATGAGTGCGGGGGGCATGAATATCAGGCACACCCTGCCCCCTAGCAGTGCCATACCCCCCTTCTCGCTATCTGCATGGTGCAGGATTGCTCTACATTGCTGTCTGTCTTTGCCTTCCAGTCCCAGTATATTTTCCTGCACAGCTGCATCCTGGACAAGATCTTGGAGGAACCACTCCTGGGTTTATCAGGGACAGAGACGTAAGAGCCTGCTGTGTTTCTCCTGCCCTCTCTCCACTCTGCCCCATGGCCCTGCAGACAGCGAGCTGGGATCCCAGGACAGGAGGACAGGGTGACCCAGCAGCTGTCCCACCCACTGCTTTAAGAAGGGTCAGCCTGGGGCTGGTTGTTCCCTGCAGCACAGGGAGCCCAATCCAGAACAGTCCTCCCCTCCTCAGTGTCATTTTTCTGGGCAATGCCAACACCAAATTTCTGCAGAGCTCTCCTGGGGCAGGCGTGGATATCAGCTGGGATTTCCCAGCCTGTGGGACGCACCAGGGATGGGGTCCAGGGACTCACGGCAGCTGGGCTTTTGGATGTCCCTTCTTAAAGAGGCCCAGAGGAGGGAGCAGGACAGGCTTTGCCCACGTACCTTATCATCTGAGTGTGCTTCTGGAGGTCGCACACCTATCTATATGGCCAAATTCTCCTTCCTTCAAAATGGGATGCCCTTGCCCATGCTGCGTCTTGGGAATGGGTTAGGATGAGGGTCAGGGCTGCAGAGCTGGGCTGGGGAGCTGCACGAGCCTGGCCATGCTCTGCCCACAGCCCTGCTCAGCTCCTGCAGACACAGCCTGGATGCTTCTGCATTTGTTCACCCTCACCACCAGCCTCCCTCCGCAGGTCCTGCCCCGTCCCACTGAAAAGCTTTGCACAGCACTACTGCCAGAACTCAGCCAAGTCCAACGTGGGCTTCTTGAGGGAATACGAGGTGAGAGCTGCCCCAGGCAGCAGGGAGCGCTGCCGGTCCCTCCTGCTCCCCTGGGCCAGTTCTGCTCACGCTTTCACCTCTGTCTTTCACTCTGGCAGACCCTCCTGGAGGTTGCTAAGGAAGAAACCAGCTCTGCTACACCATCATTGGGCACCCAGCAAACACGGCCCTCATCCAGCATCCTGCCGTGTAAGTGCTGTGACACCTCACATCCCCTTCCCACCATGCTGGGCCAGAGCCAAACGTGCTTGGAAACATGGGAGTGAGTCCAGCAGGTGGCTCTGGGGTGGCTGGGGACTGAGAGTGTGTGCTGCATGGCACTCAGGTGGGTGGGTTTGTTCAGCTTTGAGAAGGCAAAGGGGAGCTTTTACGACTGCTGGGAGGGTGCTGAGAAGAAGCAGTCTTGTGCGCCATGGAAGGACAAGAGGCAACAGGGACACTTTGGAAGATGTAGGATATTCCAAATCAATATAAGGGGAAAAAAATCCCATGACGGTGGCCCCAGCTCACTCTGTCTCCCACCTATTTTGCAGATGATCGCTCCAGAGTGAAGTTTTCCCTGCTGGACCAAGGCCCTTTCTCAGGTCTGCAGGTGTGGCGCGTCCCGGTGAGTCGGCCCCCCGCAGCAATGCCCACCCCCCCCAGGTTCCTGCGCTGCCCTCACCAGAGGGTGACGTTCTCATTCCCCACCCAGGGCTGCAGCTCCAGCAGAGACTATCTGGCTGTGCAGGGGCCTGACAAGCTGACCACGGAGGACTTCTGGACGCTGGTGTGGGAGCAGGACATTCACACCATCCTGACGCTGCTGCCGTGGCAGGAGATGGGGGAGGTAAGGCACTGTGCCTGCTGCTCCTTGGTGGAGCTATTAGTGACTGCTGTGATGTCTGCCATCGACACGAACCAGACCTGCTGCTGTGCACAGATCCCACATGACGTGTGCTGGCCGCTGGAAGGAGACTCTCTCTGCACAAAGCTGCTGACCATCCAGTGCGGCATGGAGAAGCCTGCCTCGGGCTGGAGGTGTATCCAGCTGAAAGTGAAGCACGTACGTCTCTGTGGGGCTGTTTTGGGGTGCTGGAGGGGCACAGGCTGAGAGGTGTGTGGAGATGTGGCTGAGCTGTATCCAAACTCAGCCATCAGCTCTGTGTCTCCCCAGGAGAAGAAAGGAAAGGAGAGGCAGGTGCAGCAGTTCCTGTACAGGCTGTGGAGCAACAAGGAGCAGCCAAATGTTGAGAGCTTGGTGGAGCTCCTCGGTGCCATCAGGCGGTGCGTGCCCAGCAGGAAGAGAGCCAGCCCTCTCCTTCTGCACTGCAGGTACATGGGGTCATAGAGTCATAGGATCATAGAACAGCTGGGTTGGAAGGGCCCTAAAGACCTTCCAGTTCCACCAGTAAGGCTCTGCCCCACCAATGGCCTGAGGAGTTTCAGATGTGTGGAGAGTATCATTGAATCATTAAGGTTGGAAAAAACTTCTGAGGTCATTAAATCCAACTGTCACCTCACGCCACCGTGCTCTCTCATAGCATCATTGAGTCAGAAGGTTGGAAGAGACCTCTGAGATCATTTGTCCCTTTCCTACCATGCCCACTGACCATGTCCCCAGGTGCCACACATCTCCCTGTTGCTCGATGGGGCAGATTGGCTGTGCCTCCAGCTTCCTTTGATGGCTCTTGTGGGTTCTCATACCTCTGGTCAGTGCAGTGCTCACAGACCCAGCTCAGCCTGGCCTGGCGTCAGTGACCCCTCCTCTCGTCCTTTGCAGTGGTGGTGAGAACCAGATGGGGACACTGATCGCCCTGGATTGCCTGCTGCACCAGCTGAAAACAGAGAGGACTGTGGATGTCTATGGGGTGACCCTCCAGCTGATGAGAAGCTGCTGCCTCATGACCCCCACGCTGGTAGGCGGGCAGGAGTGGACGCTGGTGTGTGCTTCTGATGGGCGCTGCTACCTCAGATGCCTTCTGGCAGCGCTTCCATTTGCTGTGCTGACGCAGCACCCCTGTAACCCCTCCCTGCAGAGGACAGGAGAACTGGGGCAGATCTGGGGCTTCCCAGCTGCAGAGCTGCCTGCAAAAACCGCCTCTGCTGCTCCACACCAGAGCTCCACAGAGAGCACTGTATTCCAGCAGTGCTCTTGCTGAACAGGACACAGCGTGCCCAGAAATGCATAAAGCTGCTGTGGGTGCAGCTCTGCTGCCTCCCCACCTTGCTGCAGGTGCTGGCCAGCAAAGGGGGATCAGGGCTGGAACCCCAACCCCGTGCTTTGTGACTGCCAGCATCCTCCATCAGTGGGATGCTGCCTTCCTCCCTGGTGGGGTCACGTGGGTTTGGCTGAACAACCACACGGGGGTGAGGATGAACTTTTGAGTCGTTGCTATGGGTAACCAGTGGATATTGAAGCACACATCCCCAGGGCTGTGCTCCAGGTTGTCACTGCAGATTACCCAATCAGAACAGGCTCATAGAAGAAGTGCAGCCACTGTGGGCTCTGTGGCTTCCCCGGCCATGCAGCAGGGCTGAGCCCACTGCTGCCAGGGTGGGGGAGGCTCCTCATGCCTTGCAGCTCAGCCAGCACATCATCAAGCTGCTCGGGGGCCCCTCTGTTGGGTCTACAACCCACAACCCTCTTCCTGGCTCCCATGGCGCTGCGACCCACAGCAGCTGCCCTGCCCCGGGGCTCTGTGAGTGGAGCTCAGCCCTTTGCCTTCCTCACAGCTTGCCTTTCCCAGAGCCCTGCCAGGAGTTGGTCCTCCCCCTGCCCTTCTCTGAGGGCTTTTGGAACCCAGAAGCGTTCTGGAGCAGTTTGTGCAGAACATCATAGCAGAAGGAAATGAGGGTGGCCTAGTGAGCTCTGTGTCTGATGCTTCCTTTCTGGATAGTTGTGGTGGTACAGAGCAGTCATGGACCACTTGGGACAGTGAATCCTGCTTTGCCATTACCCTGCTGGTTAATTGCACAATAATAAGGCAAACTGCTGGAGCCCTGACCCCAGAACGCTCTTTCTCTTCCTTAGGACCAGTACGTGTTCCTGTACACCTGCATCCGGGACATCATCACTCAGAAGCAGCCCTGAGGCCCCTTGGTGCTTCCCGGCAGCATCCTGCCCTCTGAGTGGGAGCACTGAGTGGCTCCTGGCACAGCATGAGCCCTGCAGCAAGAGGGAGACCCAACCTGGCGCTGTCACCCCACTGTCAGCATGGGACGCCCGGGCAGCCTCAGGAAGCACTCCTCTGCCTTGCTGGGGGTGGGAGGTGGGATGCTCCCCCTCTGCTCACCTTCTGAGCTCACTGGTGCCCGGGATGCTGACCCGGCTGTAGCGCTGGGTGGCCCCAGGGTGGAGAGTGCTGAGCTCTGCAGCACTGAGCGTGGTCTGGGCTGATGGATCAGCGTTGGGTACAGCCAATAAACAGCCCTGGGAAAGAGCACACTTCTAACTTCTCTTACTGTGTTGCATCAGGAGCTTCCTACAGCTCTCATGGGTCTCCTTGCACAGGGACACGCTGTAAGGCAGAGCTGATGCACGGCCTGCTGCGTGTTACTGCCGAGCTGCCGGCTGTAGGGAAGCAAGGGAAACCCACGGTGGGAGAGGCTGCTGTCTGCAGGGCTTCCTGATGTCCAGGAGCAAGCAATCCCATCTGGCAGCACAAAGAGATTGCAGTGGAGCCGGCAGCCAAGGTGAACCTGCAGGCAGCTGCAGCTGCAGCACAGCTTGGAGGGACCAGAAGGACTTGGAGGGGACGAGCACGTGGCAGGGAATTGTCCTGCAAGCTGGTCAGCAGGTTTCACTCAGCGAGTTCAGTGCGACTGCGTCTCCGTGCTTCACATCCCAGCTGCAGGGAGGCCAAGGCGGTGGCGATGCTGAATTTACGACCTCCCACCCACTGCTGAAGCTGCAGCTGTTTCCAGAGGGTGTCGTGGGAGCTGTGGTTGGGATGAATAATTTTCCAGCCCTGCAGCTCAGAGCCACGAAACCCAGAGTGGGAGAAAGAGACAACAAAACAGTAACACAGAACAAAGCCTCCAGCACGGGCCGCCCAGCAAGCTGTGCCCCGTGCCGCGTCCTTCAGCATCCAACCCCCACCTCCTCCTTCAGCCCCCTGCAGAGGCCAGAACCCCAGAGACAAGCAGGATCCCTTCTGTTTGGGCCCCTCCTGCTCCCATAGCAGGGGCACGCCGCGTTAGCACTGCTGTGCAGGAGGAGGGCAGGACTCCCAAGCACACATCTGCAGGCACGGGGCCATGGTGACTGCTGTGCACCACAGCTCCTGGATCCCACAGCTCCTCTGTTTGCTGGTGCTGATGATACGTGACCCTCCAAGGTACAGAGCTCAGCAGCTGCAGCGTCTTCCCCCAGCACCATCATGGGACACTGCTGAGCACCCCCACGATACTCTGGGCTGGCTGCCCCAGCTGGATGCATGCTGTGGGGTTCCCCAGGGCTCGCTCCCCCTCCACCTGAGCCATATCAGCACAGGCATTGCAGCTCATGGATCTCCAGCATTCTCTCTCATCAGCCACTGCACCACTCTCATCCTGGAAGCACCAGGGCTGGATGGGACAGTCTGAACTGGAGGGGGAACTCCTTCTGGGATAGTCAGATGGGACCAATGCTGAGACTCGCTTCTGCCCTGCTCTTATGCATGCTGAGCTTGCCATGGCTTCAGGCCCCTGACCCTGGGGCTCCCTGCTTGCTTGCAAGGGCTTGCATTTACCACCCAGCCCTGGCACTGCCTATTTTCCTGCAGCATCCCTGGCACTATGGCCCTCTTGTCCCAGTATGCAGCCCAGCAGGGGCTCAGTTGTGACAGTAGTGATGAGCAGCCAAAATCTGATGGGCTGCAGCAGGGATTAAGGACTGACAGCCAAGCCGGGATGGTGCCAAGCCCCTGAAATAGCAGGAAACAAACAGAGGGCACAGTTTGCCTACAGGGCAGAAGGCACGCTCTTGATTTGCTGAGAACAGCAGCAAGCAGCCCACAGCCCAATAGCCCAGTAACCCTCACCTTTCCCACAGCCTGGGACTGTCCCCAGCTCTGGCAGCACCCTGAGAGGAGTGATGTGGGAGGACTGGGGTGCTTTGGGGGCTGCCGAAGTGATGCCCAGAGGCAGGGATGGGATGCACAGACGCAGCTCACCTCGCTGCTCAGCTGCACTCATCCCATCATCCCAACCCACTGCTGCCACTAGAGGACAACACAGAGGTTGTGTGCCGTGCAGGAGCGCATCCCCTCACATTCATAGCAGTGAGCTGTACGTGGAGCTCCGGCGCCTGTAACCGGGGCACCTGACAGCACAGAGCAGTTGCAGTTAGAAGCGGCTGAGAAGTGGGACTTCCACCCCAGAGGGATGTACTCAGGTCGGCCATGGACGCACCGAAGCTCTCAGGTCCAATGAGGTGCAGGCTCTGTTTCTGCCCAGTGCCCTTCAGGTCCTGCACGGCTCTCTGCCACGGTCTGTGCATTAGCTCCAAACCTGAGCTCCACTGGGAGCAGAACTCTTTGGAGGAAATCCCCACAGACCTCTGTGGATGAGGGATCACACCCCAGCTCGACTGGAGTTTTTAAGTCCCCCGCTTTGCTGCTTGACCCCATACAACTCTCCCACCTCTGTTTACCTGAGAGAATGGGGACATCAGTTAGGAAAGACTTTTATAGCTGGAAGCAAAAGCACCCTGTCAGGATGTGCAGCCGTGACATGCAGCTCCCAACACGTGCAGCAGCAATGTGAACCTTCCTCAGCACGGCCGCGGCCAGAGGGGCGACTTCGTGGGTCACAGCCACCCGAAGGGGGTCCCTCCTTCCTCTGCCTGTGCCTCATCCCCTCGAGGGGAGGCAGGGGGAAGCTCCTCTTGGAGCAGCGTGGCTGCAGCTCACAGCCCGCTTCGATGAGCGTCTCCAACGTCACAGCCACCGCAGCCCTGCAGGGCGCTCTGGAGCCGCCCCACCGAACTCAGCCCCGCGGCAGCGACTGCCCCATACCTGCAGCTCCCCCAGCCCTGCTCCGTGGATGGGGATGGTGAGGGGAGCAGGGCAGGACCCAGCAGCTCGAGCTCAGCCCGGCTGCATCCGGACCTCCCAGCTGCCGGCGCAGACACAGAGCGTTATCCGGGGCTGTGTTTCAGCGTCCCGAGGTCCGAAGCGCTTGCAGTGCAGGTTGGGTGCTGCTGCCTCCCCGTTGGTGCTTCAGCTCTGCCTTCTCCTGCACTGCTCTCTCACAAAAATCTCTGTTACAGACCAAGCACTGCTCCCGGAGTCAAGAACACGGCTTTATTTGTCGAGGTTTCTTTTCTTTTTTTTTTTTTTTTTCCTTTTTCGTTCCCCTTTCTTCCCTTTGAATGAAATTTCTGCCAGCTCTGAGAGAGAGAGAGAGAGGGAAAGAGCAGAAGGTTTGACTCCTCCCACCGGAGCGCCTCACGCCCCTGCCCAGCCCTTGAAACCCAATAACCAAAATCATCCAACAATGCCTTCCCTTCCCCGGCTGCATCCCCACCGCTCTCCCCATTGCCGCAGGTCGGGTGCGCGGTGACGGAGCGCCCCGGGGCGTCCCGTCGGTGCAGCTCTCAGGGTGGGGGTGGATCCCCGTCGGCTCCCCGCTGCTTGCAGCGAGCTGAGGATGGAGCGCTTCACCTTCTGGAGCGTTTTGCTGGCGTGCTGCGCCCACATCCGAGCGGCGGAGCCGGGCGCTGCGCCCTCGTGCCCGGCACAGTGTCACTGCGAGCAGGACGGCATCGTGCTGTCGGTGGATTGCTCCGAGCTGGGGCTGCCCGAGGTGCCCTCCGCCCTGAGCCCGCTGACCGCCTACCTGTAAGTACAGCCCTCGCTGCTATTTTTTTTTTTCCCCTTTGCGCCGCTTTCTCGGACCCTCCGGCTCGGAGCTTTGCGCCAGGTTTCACACAAATTGGAAACAAAAACGAAACGGCCGAAAATAAAGAAAGGCAGCAGTTCCTCCAGGAGCTGCCAAGCAGAGGCACCCGCACCCCTTCCTTCCCCCCACCCCCGCGCCCCTCCGCTGTTTGCACCACGACGTTCTGCACGCGTTGCTCCGGGGCTGCTTTGCTGGGCGGATCCGAATCGTCTGAGAGCACAACGGAGCGTTGGTGCCGCGCAATGACTGCCAGCTGCTCCAGGACCCCTCCTGTCAAACGCTTCCACAGGTGTGAGAACTCACAGCTTTTGGGGTTGAGTTGTGCTGGCCATCAGCTGTGCCCAAATTGCCTCTTTGAAATCAATCCTGAAGTCCTACAGGTGTTTTAGGTGCTCGCCCACTTTTTTTTTTTTTTTTTTTTTTTTCTTCTTTTTCTGGAAGGATTTAAAGGCTCTCAATGCTCTCTGTGTCTCCCATCCCCTCTGGTATGAATACCCCAAAGGGTTCCGCTCCCACAGGGATTGGGGGAGCCTCAAAGCTGGGCTCAGCAGCACTGTCTGATGGTGTCCTGTGGGCTGGGAAGGATCCCACATTTTGACCGGGGGATGGGACACACCGCTGAGCACTGGTGCACCGTGAGAGGATGCTTGGTGCTTCTATCAGCAGAGTGCAGCGCAGCAGGTCGGGAAGGACCTTGCTTTCCCCAGCCAGTGTGCTGCTGCTGGAAGCTGCTGTGTGTGAGGAAGGACAGGTGGCCAGGTGTGGCATCCCGGTGTTCCGGGTCCTCCTCAGCACTCCGAGTTCACGAGGGGCTCTGCAAAACACGGCTGGGCCGTTGGGGCCCGGCGAGAGCTCCCGTTGACCCGAGGGCATCGCTTTTTGTACCGTGCAGATGGGCAGCTGGGAAGAAGTCAGGGCAGGAAAGGATGAGTTTTGCTATAGATCGTGTGAAGGGAGAGCTGTGCGAGGCAAGCAGAGCGGACCGCGCAGCACCTTTCACACGAGGTTCCCCCGCTCTGGGAGCCGCGGGCAGCCGCTGCCTCCATCCCCGTTACCCGGGTTGTGGGGCTGCGGGGACGCGGAGCCTCCGCCGCCGATCGGCGCTCCCGGTGCGCAGAGGGCGGGGAATCCGCGCACAGACGGCGCCTCTGACAGCGGATCGACCGCCTTGCGGGGCCGGGCGCTGCCCCGCATCTCCGCGCCGCACCGGAGAGCCGAGAGCCTGCAAAGGCACCGGAGAACCGAGGGATGCGGTCGCAGCACCGCAGCTCCGCCTCCCGCTGCCAGAGGAGGGCCGTCCTGGGGCCGACGGGGCTGGACGGCGGCGAGGTGAGAGCGCGGGGGATGGGAGCTGCCTGCGAGGACATCCCGGCCCCCTCCGCCCCTGTGCGCGGTACCAGCCCTGGGGAGGGCAGTGCGGGGTGAAAACAGACCTCCGCTGGTTGAAGCTGCTCGCGGACGGCGCTGCTGCTGCTGCCTCACCCGTTTCGAGCGTCTCTAATACCTCCTAAGGACCCGACCCCGTTACAGCGCTGACCGCTCTCGCGGATCTTTCATCC